TCGCCTATTTGATTAAAGGTTGTATAGAGGATTTTTTTTAAGGGAAGAGAAATACAGTGACAGTTCTTGTGCACACGTGACACCACCTTCCTCCTCGACAGCTCCCTCAGTAGAAACACCTCCTCCCACTTCCTTACTCTAGAAATCACACTTGTTTACAGCCAGTGCGTGTTCAGAATTACTGTTGAAGTGACCTGTCTAGAAATAATTTAGCAACCGACGTGTCAGTTTTAGACCCTTCGTTTGCTTCAGTCCCACCATCGCTGGAAGAGATCTCCAAGAATCACCTCAGTTTGGCTTTGCTCCTTTTCCCCTTCTCTTCTTTCCTCAAAAACGGACTTTCTTTTGCGGCGAACTGGTCGTGGATTCTCGTCCGCAATCGCAACAAAGTTTGTGCGAACTGCGAGGAAGCGACAGTTTGAAAAAGCCTCTAAGAACCGCTACATAATCCACGTAATCCCTGCGCGCTGGTGAGTCAGTTACACTAGAAACGTAGGGAGTTTGATTAACAACCTAACAGCCAATAGATAAAGAGGGAGCCTTGTTTTCTCTTGGCTGATGTTTATCTGGCCTCACTACGTCCACAGTCGATAGATTTTCATTCATTTTATTTTTATTTTTTGGTCATCATAATTACAAGGCTGCTGCATCTCTGTAATGGTATTTTAAAATTTCATTGACAATTTGAAACTGGAAAAAAAAAAAAAATCCTCCATACAACCTTTAAATCGGAGACATTGTTGGATGAGGAAACGGTTACATGCTGCTATTCCGACATGCCGCTATTTAGACATTGACGTCTACTTGTCAGAGAAGCGGCATCAACATTATTTTTCAAACATCCCATTTCTTTTTTTCATTGTTGAAGTAGCGGCACTTTACTATTTTTCGACATGAATAATATTAATGTCATAGCAGATTATACTTTGCGCTTCCATATATCAAGATGCTTGGGCTGGTTTCCTATCGATTTGAGCTCCTTATCGTTACTACGCATGCGCACGAGCCAGAAGCTCTATTACAGTTTAAATGCTCTTCGATTTGAGCTCCCAAGGCAGAAGTGGAGTAACAAGTCACATTTTAAAAGTGTATTGGTTTTATTGTCTGTTTTGACCAGTTAAGCGTGTAAACATTGACATGTGCGACATGTGTGGCAGAATACCTATGTTCAATGATTGATTTTGTTGGCATGAAACGTAACTTTGTTTGTAAAGGTGCTGTATAAATAAAATATCACTATATTATAACAGGACATTCACACTGTAGCCTGTGATATTAGCGTTAAATCTTACATAACACTATGTAATATAAAGATTTCAGTGTTTCCAGTCATTTCTTTCTCTTCTATAGTGGGAGTTTTATTTGATAAAAGATATCAGCTTGTGGACATGAGCTCCTCTACCCAAATTCACATAAATGAGTGAATAATAGTGATTCTACAGTGGGAGCATTATTTGATTTGACTGGTTAAATTGTCCTGTTGGTATGTGCTCCCTTTAGTCAGGAGCCTATTTGAGCAGAATACGATTGTCGAAATGAACTACCTACTCATATTCATATAAATGAGTTGAAATTTGACATAATTAAATTATAAAGTCTGATCACCATGTGCATGTGCAATTTTGATGTCAGTTTTTTGTATTTATAATTACCATAGGGCATGAAGGCACATTAGTACAGAATAGGGTGTACTTTACAGTGCAGTACTGAGTACTGTGTACTTCACAGTGCAGTACAGAGTATATAGTGACAACTGCTGACTCGACAAGAAGGATTGATCAGACTTGTATTTCAGAGCTGCTCTCGACGTGAGGCTGTGCTGCAAGCCTCAGGGACTGCAGCCTGTTCTGCTCTACACTCTTTACTCCTCTGTCTCTCTGTCTCTCTCTCTCTCTCTCTCTTTTTGTTTCCCCCTTTTTCTCTCTCTTTCCCTGTCTTTGCCTCTCTGTATCCCTCTCTTTTTCTCTCTCAATCTCTCTCCTTTTCTTTACTTCTCCCTCTCCTTCTCTTTCTTTCACTCTTCTGTTCTTAATTCTTTCCCATTTTTTCAACATATATTCACTTCAAATAAAGATAAATAATATTTAAGTTAAACATTATTTTTTGCACTTTATTGTACTTTATTTTTTCTACACGTGACCCAACCCCGGATAAAGCAGAAGAAAATGGATGGATGGGTGGATTTCTGCACTTCATCTCTCACTCGAAGACATTTGAAGACAGGCCATGACCGAACAGCCTGAGGCTGCTATTCCAAATCAATAAAGGATTCTATGGACATCTGTGCTCTATATAGGACTACCTCTCTGCCACCTCCTTACCCCCCTCCGCTCCTCTGTCGGGAGAACAGCGTGGTGCATTCAGGGCACGCTGAGAATGCAGTATAAAAGACACTCTGCTCTGCTCCCTCGCCTCTGTCACTGCTCCACTCCCTTCGAGGCAGGACTGTGGAACACATTAGCATATTCTCAGGCCAGGTGGAAATAGTGAAAAAGAGAAGTTTGGCTGGAAGTTAGTGTCCAAGAAGACAAAGCTGGCACAGAAATATGATGTATGTTCTTAAAGATGTCACCAAATGCTTTCAACTATTGGGTCTTTAAAGAGTTCAGTAAAAGTGCTGATGGTAATGTAATGATGCTGTTCTGTCTATTCTACATTAAAACATCATCTGTCTGCCTTCTGAACAGTGAATAAGCTCATTCTCATCCAGCAGCTGTATCTGAACTCCCCTGGCTCCTCGTGAGCAGACATATAAGCACAATGTGCACTTCCAGTCTGCTCACACAAAGTCATTATGTGCTGGAGGAGATGCATTAAGTATTCAGAAGAGCTGGAGACTGCACTTCTCAAATACTCCCTTTAAAAAAGTCCTCATGCACAAGAAGCTATGGCAACAGTCTGCTCTGCTGGATAAAACACCGAGAAGTGAACAAGGGATGTGGATGCAGCTTTGTGTATTTAAAGAGATGATATACCATTAACAACTATGTTAATCAATATCACTTTATTTGTCCCCGAGGGGCAATTTAAGCACACTGAGCAATAAAATACAATAATAATAGAACGCTCAAATTGTCCAGGAGACAATACACCCAGAGGCTTGAGGATTACACCTCCTCCTCTGACTCCCGGTGCATGGGGCAGAGGACACAGCACTTCATCAACCACCAACAGAACACTTCACCCCATACAGCCATATGCTGCCTGATCAACTCAACCAGATCTAAATCTGAGGTCCTCAACTTCAACCAACAGAGTGAGTGCACGGGCCATATGCAGCTGTCTGTGTAGTAGAGGTGCATCAGATCTTGAGCACAATTCACTCAAGGAATAACATGCCTGTGTGTGTTTGTGTGTGTGTGTTTGTGTGTGTGTGTGTGTGCGTGTGTGCGCATGCATGTATGAGTGTGTGTTTAAAGCTGCTCATCTGAGCTGATGTCCTCATGGACACATTAAACCTGTCCTGTCCTTTCTACTTTAAGTCCACTGTTATTGTGCCTGTTACAAAGAAAATCCTGTTGACATCATTGAATGACTGTGGACTATTACATTACATTAACACCCATCACATGAAATGCCTTGAGAGGAGACACACACACACTATGGATCCAGACACACTCGACTCAGATCAGTATGCACTGGACCAGAACAGACCCTCTGATGATGCTGTACATGCTCAGTCCACACCGTCATAGAAATCAGAGAAGCTGCTCCAGTGCTCTAAACTAAAGCAGCAGGTTCCCACACAATGACCCCATGTCAGGACAGGACACTCAGCGCCATCAGCGCCTTTGACCAACACTCACACACACCACATTCATACTACGCAATGTGGGTGAAGTGTCTTGCCTAAGGATGCAACAGCGTTTTTTATTTTATTTAATTTTTTTTTTTTTGCCACCGGCGCCCCACTGAGGCACCTGGAATTCCCAGCAGTCTCCCATCCAAGTACTTACCTTCTGAGAGCTGACAAAATCAGAATAATTTATTATTACATTACACATACATTATTTAAAAAGATCAGTGGACAACTTGAATTTTGAGCCAGAGAGAAGTTTATCTAAAAGTAGATGCAGAAGTGTTTACTGCCCAGGCTCATAGAGAAGTGTGGGGCCTGGGTGTTGCCTGGCTCATAGAGGTGGGATTCTCATAGAGAGCCCGAGGGTGCTGCCTGGATTCACAGAGAGGTGGGGGGCCCCTGGGTGCTGGACATCGTGAAATATGGGACCTCTCCCTGTATGTGTTCTGAGCTGTCACTGAAATATATGAGGCCACAGTCCAGTGGCAGTGTGACTGCACCGCTTTGTACTCTTCCCCTCTGAGGTGCAGTCCCTCTCAGCACAGGCTATAGGGGCCCTCGCCACTTCAAATCAGATGATGTGGAGAAAACTAGGGGCCAAAATTACTCTGCGTGAAGCACAGTGCTGAAAGAAATATATAGATAGGAAAAACAAATAGACATAATAAGAAGAATTAGCATTATCATTGATCTAAGACAACTTAATAACAGAAATGGGTTTCTCTGCAAAACTGCAACTACCGCCTCTTCATAGTACAGATTTTCAACAACATGTTCTGTGTTTGGTTTTTTTATGGCTACATGAGATATTTGAACCCTACATGTATGAACCAGAGCGTGAATCATTTTCATAATCCTAGTACAAAAAGTGGGCAGAGATTGGAGTCCTCACGCCTTAAATGTGCCTTAAATAAAAGTGTATTCTGCCTAATATGTTCAGTTCATTACTACTACTTCTGGAATTCAGACTAAACGTACTGGGTCATAGGTCATTGAGGCCAGGACAAAGATCAAACTTACAGCCGGTGTACGACCAAAGACGAGCTGTGACTGTTTTCTGCAGACAGACTTTGGTCTCTTCTACGACTGATGCAATGATGCACCACTGTGGTGTAAAAATGTGATATTTACTGAGTATTCTGAAAACATGAAAGAACATACCATGTTGCCATAGTAACTCTTGTCCTCCTTATGTCCACAGTTCTTCATCGTGCTGCTGCTCATCTTCTTCCTGGAGATCCTGTCCATCATGTTGTTCTTCATCTACCAGGACGAGGTAGGACTGTCCACCTCCACACACAGTATTTTCCTCACATTTTGGTGTGAAAATACGATGTCCAGAAGCAAGAGTTTGTTTTTTATCAATCATGGAAAAATTGTTGTGATATTTTGGCAGTGGCTCTAGTGCAACACAAGCGTTCTGCTGGTATCTGTAAAAAGTGCATTATGTAACATTTCTGGAAGAGGCCACAAACTTGTCTCCATGGAGATAAAGTGTCCCACAGTTCAGCAACAAACTGAACTAGCTCCAGTTCATGTTATTAGGTTCTTTTTTCAGACCAAGAGTTTGTTTTCATACCTGACAGTTTTGACTGCTCACTAGCGTCTTCCTCAGAGTGGTCATGTGATGTTGCTGTGTCGTGTCTGGTCAGCTGATTTATACAGGTTTTGGCTCTGTCTTCCTACCGGTGGAGGCAGCACGACAGCGCCATCTGCAGTCCAAATTCCTCAGGACAGTATCCCAGGTGTGTGAGAGTAAAAAAGCCCTCGTCCCGGTTTACAGTCCCGTGGGCATGTTTCTGTATTTCGATTGCCTCTTTAATCCAGTGACGATGTTTGTTTTCCTCTGTCCCAATGATGTTTGCTCCGTCCCAGTCCATGTTGTTCTCTCTTGTATGTTTTATTGCATGTCCTGCAATAAAACATACTTCGGGGAAACAGGGAGGGTGTTCAATACATGAAAAAAGGAACATAGAACAGAATGCGAGAAGGAAACAGCGAAGGCGTGCACACGAGCAACAAAACTCAAAACAGAACAGGAACAGCTCAAATCGGCCGTTTCTGAGCACTGTAAAAGAGAGAAGCACATTATGGACTGGGACGGAGCAAACATCATTGGGACAGAGGAAAACAAACATCGCCACTGGATTAAAGAGGCAATCGAAATACAGAAACGTGCCTACAGGACGATAAACCGGGACGAGGGGGCTTTTTTACTCTCACACACCTGGGATACTGTCCTGAGGAAGTCGGACTGTAGATGGCGCTGTCGTCCTGCCTCCACCGGTAGGAAGACAGCGCCAAAACCTGTTTAAATCAGCTGACCAGACACGACACAGCAAAATCATGTGACCACTCTGAGGAAGACCACAGTGAACAGTCGAAACTGTCAGGTATGAAAACAAACTCTTGGTCTGAAAAAAGAACCTAATAACATAAATTATCGGAAGACCAAATGAACCTCATCGGACCAGCTCCAGGTCAGATCTGTGGAAATGCCATCCCTCTCACTGTAAGAATGCAAGAAGATTTATCAATACAACTTCAATACTTTAAAAACGCTTCATGAACTCTGACAAGACTGAAGTCATAGTGTTTGGTCCACAAAAACAAAGGGACAGTGTCAGCAGTCACCTCCAGTCTCTCTCTCTAAAACCTTCAAATCAGGCAAGAAAGGCAAACATAGCAAAAATCAAAGGTTTACTGTCTAAATCAGACTTGGAGAAACGTATCCATGCGTTTGTCTCCAGTAGATTAGATACTGTAATGTTCTGCTCACTGGTCTCTCCAAACGAGCTGTGAGACGCTGCAGAACATCCAGAACGCTGCAGCTCGGGTCCTGACTCGAACTAGGAAGTACGAGCACATGCGTCCTGTGCTCAGGTCTCTGCACTGGCTCCTGTGGCTCAGAGAATAGAGTTTAAAGCAGCTCTGCTTGTACAAGTCTCTCCATGGCCGAGCACCAAAGTCCATCTGTGACATGTTAGTGTCATATGAACCATCTCGCACTCTGAGGAGCTCAGGGACCAACTCCTGCTGGTGCCCAGAGTCACGACTAAACAAGGGGAGTCAGAGTTTCAGGTTCATGCAGCTAAAACCTGGAACAGTCTGAACATGTGAGACAGACTCTACTGTGACGGTGTTTAAATCCAGGCTCAAAACATTTCTGTTTAACTGTGCATATAACTGAAAGGTTTTCATTCCGCACTCTTCCCTCCAATTTATGTCTCTCTTTTTTAATTTTAATCTTCATGATTATTTATGTTTTGATTTGTTTTTATTATGATTTTAATGTATTTCTTATTCTGTAAAGCACTTTGAATTACTTTGTGTACGAATTGTGCTGTACAAATAAACTTGCCTTGCCTTGCCTTGAACAAGGTTTTAATGTCACACTGTGGAACATTTCAGGCAAAACATAAACATCTCCATGGAGACACACAGGCTGCAGATTCCAATTGAAAAGTTACATGGTGTATCTTTATCCAAAATGTCTCTTGCTACTTGGAGTAATGTGATGAGAAGAGCTTACTTTTGAGTTGGTGAACTCAGCTCATATTTGTAATTCATATTTCAAACTTAAGAAACAATTTCACAAACAACTTTTTAAATTTAACATTCCATTAAAATTTTGGTGGCAGGGGATTTTCAGAAATTGGTGCTTTTCTCACTGGAGGTGGTCGTTGTTGGCATCACAAAGAGGTAACGTGTGAAATGAAATGGGAGTTTTTTCATCAGCAGTGTCCAATTTTCAGACTGATTTCTGGGAATGGCGATTTGGACAGGACAGTGAGGAGTTTGTGTGTGTGATGAAATAGTAAAGGGACCATATTATTTGAGATCTATGTTTTAATGTTGTTTCCTCATCACAAACACACCTGGAGTTGTGTTTTCATTTAATAGTTTTTTTGTACTTTCTACATGTTATCTGCATACTGAAGCCATCGAATATATGATGCCAGATATACAGAATTATGTAGTAGAGAAAAAAGTGAAATATTTCTACTATTTTATACTCAAATCTTCACAGTATCCACTGTTTGCTTTCTCTCAGTGAGCTTCATGATGAAGTCTCCTGATATGGTTTGCACTTCACATCTGTGCCATGTCAGGTTTTGAGTCCTTTTGAGTCCATCTTTTGTTTGCTACATTCCATGTGTCCATTCATAGTCTTGAGAGAATCTACAAAGCAAATTGTCACAGAAATAAAGAAGAAAAAGAAGAAGAAAGAAAAAAAAGACTTCTCAGAGCTTTTAACAATGTTGTAAATGTAGTGTCGTAGTACTCAAGACCAGTCTTGGTCTCGAGACCGGCCTCAAGACCGTTTTTTTAAGGTCTCGGTCTTGTCTCGGCCTCAACCGCATTTGGACTCAGCCTTGTCTCGGTTTTGAAGGCGTTTGGACTCTGTCTTTTCTCAGTCTTGAAGGTGTTTGGACTCGGTCTTGTCTCGGTCTTGAAGCCGTTTGGACTCGGTCTTGTCTTGGTCTTGAAGGCATTTGGACTCAGTCTTTTCTTGGTCTTGAAGGCGTTTGGACTCGGTCTTGTCTTGGTCTTGAAGGCATTTGGACTCAGTCTTTTCTTGTCTTGAAGGCATTTGGACTCAGTCTTTTCTTGGTCTTGAAGGCATTTGGACTCGGTCTTGTCTTGGTCTTGAAGGCATTTGGACTCAGTCTTTTCTTGGTCTTGAAGGCGTTTGGACTCAGTTTTTTTCTCGGACTTGGTCTTGTCTCTGACTCCAGGTCTGACCCTCATCGAGTGCGATAATTTTTCACTACGGCCACTGCTGTTGACAATAAACTTCTTACCGCGACATGAAGTTTGTCTAATAAAAGTGCACAAATGCATCTGTATTCATCATGATGTGTGTTTGGTAAATGTGCAGAGGTTAAATCCCACTGCAAAACCAGAAAGAGAATGTAACTCCAGTTAGAAACTTGAAAAACAGGTTTAAAATCCTTCACACTGTCTTCACGTTTTTCTGTAAAGTGCCAGAGAAAGTTCTCTTAAATAATTGTTTTTAAACTGTGGGTGAGGATCCAAAAAAGGGGTGCAGAATGTTTCAGTGCAGTACAGTTTGTTTGGCTCATTTTAAGCCTAAATTAACATTAATCACATAAAATGGAGATAGATTTATAAAAAACATTAATATATAGGAGCCAAAATAACTGTAAAATATAAATAAATGTACAAAACGACTAAGATGGTCTCAATTTGGTTTCGATGGGCCATGGTCTTGGGCTTGTCTTGGTCTCGACCTTTAAAAGTCTTGGTCTTGTCTCAGTCTCGGCCCTCAAAGGTCTTGGTCTTGTCCTGGAGTTGTATTTGGAATGATTCGTGCATCTTTGGCCAATCTTTAACCGCTTATTTTCAAAGTGCCATTTTGCCAGTCAACCCCCATTTTCACCGCCATTGGTACACGTCCACTGTGACCGTACTTACCTCCATCTCCAGTATTATTTTCTTTATCAGTGATACATGTAGGATTCAGTAGCATCACGTAGTTATCTGCAGCTGTCCATCGGAGGTGCCGACAACAGCAACCTCACTGCTCTTTGTTGTGACGACCTTTACAAAGGCGGACTGGCAATTTGTGTGTTCTGAAAAAGTCCAGAACAGCCGTCCGGTTTACCAGCCATCGGCCATACTAACAGCAGAAGGCACTAATATGATAATAGATGCATCAAGAATCTCAGACTTCTGGTCATTGCACAATGCATACTGGAAGGATTTTCCAAAAAAGTGAACATCAAACCGCCATGTTTGTTTTCACAGTGGGATGCATCTATTGACAAAGTCGATCTTTTCAAGTCTTTTGAACCATATCGCTGTTGTTTCTGGTCCTGATATTGTCATATTTTAGTTTTGGGATTCGGACATCGTAATGGTGTCTTTGTTGGATGTCCTAACAGCGAACTCCATAAATGCTAAAGGGAATCAGATGTGTGTGACTGCAAATCTCCGCTCAAACTGTTTCCCTTCCCAACAGAATTGAAAAATAGTGAAAGGTAAAGGCGATGGGCAGTACTGATCCACAGGAAGGACGAAAAAGGAAACCTTTGGCTGCCAAAGAAATCATCCCCAGTTTGCAGCAAACATTTTTTATTTATGGAGTTCTCAAACAAATTTCTCGAGCCGTTTTCCGCTGTTAGGATCCAACAACCACACAATTACGATGTCCGAATCCCAGAACTAAAATATGACAATATCAGAACCAGAAACAAAAGTGATATGGTTCAAAAGACTAGAAAAGACTGGCTTTGTCAATAGACGCATCCC